TTTTATACAGGTGGAGTACACAACAGGATCCTGGTCAGATATTTCAAGAGTAGCAGAATGATTTTTGAGTGGGAAGACCACCACTGATGTATGCCCTTCAGGCTGCAATCAGTTGTTAATTCCAATTAGAAAATGCCCGTTGAATCAATGGGAACTTGATATGTTAACATTTATGGAAGTTCCATAGATGCATTGTGTCTACTCTGGTTGAGGCCAACAATAGATTTAAGCTATATATTCCTCATAATTGTTCAAACAAGTTTGATAACACTAGAACAAAATGCTCCCTGCTCCCAAATCATTACACTGTTTTAGTGACCACCAACACAGTGCATTAAAGTCTTCTAATTGTCAGAAATCAGTTATTGCTTCTTACAGGTAAATGTTGGGAAAATGGATTCACCAATTGAGAAGTGGAATTTAATAATTGGCAATTTGGCCTTAAAACAGGTAAGGAATCATTAATGCTTTAAAAAAAGTCCATATAATAGATGGTTTCTCATTAAAGAACCATTTTCACAAAGCTGCTGTACCTAGGTGAATTGCTGTGTATAAGAAATGACATTTTGTGGAATTTTTAGAGTTCATACAATACCCAGATGTTGTACACAGTATAGCCAGACTTGAGGATTTCCCACTTCAAAGTTGTGTAACACCAATTTAAAGCAAGTCTCTGGAACATACAGTCACTAAGTATGCTGCAAGCTTGTATATTTCCCTTTTATATAGATTTTAAAGTATGTGCTTTTCTTAAAATACAGACCTGGAGCTATTAAAAAAAGTAATTTATGTTCCAAAATGTTTTTACTTGATGCTGTTTTAGGCTATTTGATTTTTTAAAATTTTTGCTTGTTTGCAGTTTATATTGAATGCTGTAGAACTCAGCCTTAAAGACACTTCCTAGGTACTAGGCTCCAATGAGCTCAGTGGGATTTCCTCTTGGTCACCCATGCTTAGGATTGTGCTGTGCATGTTTTTAGTTGTGTATGCTAAGTGTTAAAATCTGTATTAAAATAATTAATTAAAATAAACTGACAATATTACTTCCTCTCCACCTGTTCATCTGCACAGCTTCTTACTTTAGTTTTGGGTATTTATTTATAGCAACTTCTAGTTTCAAGAAAAAAACCTTGGCAGTTGAGCAGGTTTCTTGAAACTTGACAGTGGAAAGTTTGCACAAATGAACAAAACAAATAAGTCAACAAAAGAAACAAACAAAAATCAATAAAGCATCCACCAAAAAAAAAGTTAGCAATTAACTCATCCAACTCTGAACACACTCAGACATGCTTGATTTGGACAGTGAATACTGGAGATGGGAGGCCACCAGGTAATACCAAGGGTCTCTAGGTTGAGCTCAGAAAGGTTCCTGCCTGAAATTTTGGAGCGCCAATAGTCAGTTTCATTCATTCATTCATTCATTCATTCATTCATTCATTCATTCATTCATTCATTCATTCATTCATTCATTTATAACCCACCCATCTAGACCGAAGTCTACTCTGGGCTGCTAACAACAATCCATAAAATAATAACAATATAAAATAAAACAACAATATTAGTATAATTGAAGACTGCAAGAAATAGATTAGATGATGCTGCGAGGGAAGGCCTTTTTTTTTTTTGGTGAGGGACCATAAGTCAAAGATAGAGCTCAGGCTTTTTATGAAAATGGACCCAGATTCAGTTTTTCACATCTTCCAGAAGGGATGGAAACCCCCCTGAAACCCTGGCTTCCCGTAGCTTTTCCTTGGCACTGCTACCCGGTAACCAGGTCAACAGTATAGTTGGTGCCTCTTTGTATAGAGCTGGCAGGATTAAGTGAGTGCCATTCTTACTGAGCATGGAGGCACAGCAAAGGGTGGCAAGGAGAAGACACCGGGTGGCAAGGGCACAGCTGCTTCTGTTCTTGTCTCAGACCGCAAAGCATCTTGCCTTCCTAGGAACCACAGAATTTCAACCTAATTATTTTGGGCACTATGATGATGTTGTTAGCAGTGAACATTCCAGCTCTATCCCTACCCATAGAAGAACTTGGAGCAGAGGAGAGCATCACTCATGAACATGTTTCATAATAATTTGAAGAGACAGTTGAATTTCATGGTGACTTGTGTAAATTTGTTACAGAGCAGTCAGAATCCTAGTGGATATTTTTGTGTGCACAAGAGGAATGGTAGATGTTGCTACTGTGAATTGACAAGATAATGGTCATGTCTCACTTGTGTACCTGACTGCATGCTTAGTGCACCTTCAGAAATGTCTGTGATTCCTCATCCATGTGTTTAAATAGCCATCAAAATGCTGACCAGTGTTAATACGGAAGCAAACTTTTCTAATGCTAAATGTTTTTTTTTCTAGGTGCAAGCAACAGTTGTTGGCTTTTTGGCAGCTGTAGCCGCTGTTATATTGGGCTGGATCCCTGAAGGCAAATACAGCCTTGATCACTCTGTCCTCTTGTGTTCCAGCAGTGTAGCAACCGCCTTCATAGCATCTCTTTTACAGGGTAAAAATTGTTATAAACATTTCTTAAAGGCAAAGACTCTTAAGTATAATATAACAAATATTTCGCCACTCAAAAAGAGCACAGTATTTAGACCAATGCTAGTTTCAGGCTAATTCTAAAGTTTTTCAGAAGTGTTTGTACAAAAATACCGTATTTTCCCATGCACAAAAATGACACTTTTTCCTAAAATAGAGGGAAAACTGAGTGTCGTTTGATACACGGAAGGAAACAGTCATGCGCACGCTTGGGTGCCTCTTCCTGCCACTGCCGCCGCTGCCCAATTGCCTCTTCCAGAGCTCATGGCTTATCCCCTCCGGTGGCCCTGAGGCAGGAGGAGGAGGAGGAGAAGGAGGAGGTGGAGATGGAGATGGAGATGAAGGAGCATTCACATGTGCTCGGGCACCTCTTGCTGCTGCCTCCCCTGCTCACCCGATCACCATCTCCAGTGGGACTGATGGGCTCAGCTCACATTGGTGCCTTGTCCCCTCCGGTGGTGGAGGCAGCAGGAGGCAGAAGTGGAGGCAAACAAGCACTCAGGCGCCTCTTCCTGGTGCCACCCCCCGGATCACCTCCTCCAGCAATCGATCGTTTCCTTAGGGCAGGGGACAAGGCAGCGAGGTGAGCGGGAGGTGAGCCCAGCAGTCGCACTGGAGAAGGTGATCAGGCAGGCAGTGGAGACAGCAGGAGGAGGAGGAGACGGAGGTGGAGGAGCAGTTGCCCATTAACTGCTTCTCCGCCTCCATCAAGGGTCAAGATTAGGGAGTTGTTTTATACATTGGGGGGTTGTGTACATGGAAAAATATGGTATTTTGACTGATCATTTATCTAAGCAAAGAATTATTTTAAAATAATTTTTTCCTTCCATCTTTTCAAAATTATCAATTTATGATGATGAACGGCTACTGATGGTGGAAGAAGCAGTAGAAATCAGCTGGTTGGATCCTTACTAAAATGTCTTGTGATCTGAATCAGAAATGAATTAAATTTTAGCTTGACAGACATAAAAGGAAGTCTAGGTAAACTGGTTCTGTAAACAGAAATGCTTGTTTAATAAGCTGTGCAAAATTGACTAACGGGTTTTATTGCTTATAAAATATTTACCTTGTCCTGCTTGTACACTGGGTTCATTGTGAAAGGTCACTTTGCACTAAATGTCTGTGAAAGTAGAGTGCTTTTCACATAACAATGAAGAAGATGCAGCTTAAATAAAAGCTCTAGCTAAGGTTTCCCTCTTTAGAATTACAGCACGGGATTGACTTTTCTATGTTTATAATGGGTTTAGGAATAATAATGGTTGGAGTTATCGTTGGGTCTAAGAAGACTGGCATAAATCCTGACAACGTTGCCACACCAATTGCAGCAAGCTTTGGAGATCTTATCACCCTTGCCATACTTGCTTGGATAAGTCAGGGTCTTTATGATTGCCTTGGTGAGTAGGCTTCCTTTCAAAGCACTTGTAGTAAATAATTAACTGATTTGAAAAGCAACATAGAATATTTATGTACATGACAGAAATGTCAGTAAAGATAAGTATTTGTGAGTTAAACTAGATTTAACTGGTTTGGGCCTTGAGGTAGAGGATAACCTTTCAAGAATAACTGGTATTGTGTTAGAAGATACCTGCATATTTGTCCTTCTTCATAGGTGCACCATTTGGTGCTTGATAATGGTTTGATTTTTGCAAGGAAATGTTTTCTGTGCAGGATTTCCCTGTGTGACCTGGGTTACTTGGTGAATGAAAAAGCTTGATTGATAGGACCTGTCAAAAGACCTTGCCCATTTAAAGAATCCAAGCCTGATAGCACACTAGTGTTCAGTGACAGAGATTGCATGAAAGGGAGGGATTGTTACCACCAAAGATACAGGTCCTTTGTGAGTTTGCTCCATTCCTTCCCATCTCTCTTTTGTTTCTGTAATTATTTGTACTAGTGTGCATTCAGAGTGTCCTGGACTGAACGTATGATGGTTATTAGCACATGGCTCAAATCTGATGATATACAGCCTAATTCAAAGATGGATTTCCATCCATTCCTTTTATTCTGTATTTTAAATTTCCCCCTCTACATCTGTTTAAAAACACCTTTTCATCAAGAGTCCATGAGTGAAAATATGAGAGGGCAGCTGGGATACTACAGTACTGCTGCAGTGTGAAGACATAAATGAGAGGGGGGCAATCTGTAAATCTAATTCAATAAATTATGCTACAAAGGAGGTGTACCATGTTTATGACTAAAATAATTCTTTGTGTAGCTTCTCACATTTGTAGACAATCATGTGAAGGGACTTGACATTTCTTAGAAAGTAGGTAGGGAGTATATTCTTACCACCCTGTTCTTCCTTCTTCCCCTATTACTCTACTTCCCCAAAAGTTCTCACTTCTAATTCGCATTTAACTCATAAGTTAACTCATAAGTGATGGGTTTGGCGTTAGGTACCATATTTGCCAGGGTATAAGACGACTGGGCGTATAAGACGATCCCCCAACATTTCCACTCAAAATATAGAGTTTGTTATATACTCGCCGTATAAGACTACCCCCTCTTCCGCACACCTTCCACACACCAAATAAAATGTGCTATTCATTGTCACCATTGTACGGCTGCACCGTGACCGCAGTGCCTCCGGCCCACCCCTGCATCTCCCTGTGACCGGCACTAGTGCGCAAGTGCGCATGTGTGAGCTCTGCGTAGACAAGGGGCGGGCCAGAGCACTGCTGCTTCCCACTGAGCAGAACGGGCCGGTCACGTCAAAAAGGCTGGTACCCCTTGTCCCGCTGCTGATGCTCGCCGCGGCCGCACTGGATACCGCGCGATACTGGGCGGTATGTAGAATGAGGTGGGCAGGCATCGGGAGGCTACTATGGGCACCGGGCGAGCATCGGAAGGCCACTATGGGCAGCTATGTCTATCCCAACTGAAGTGCACCCGGCGTATAGGATGACCCCCCCCACTTGGAGGCATGTTTTTCAGGGCAAAAAAGTCATCTTATATGCCAGCAAATACAGTATTTGTTGCCCACCAGAACAGAAAGTTGTCAGTCTCCTGTTAAGCATCCATCTTTGCAGAGGGCTTCCACGCTACCGTAAGATACAAAGTGCCCCAAACAGAAAGAGGAGGAAAGGCTTCAGGGAAACAGCCGAGTGACGTCAAAGACAAGGCCATGATGCCAAGGGCTTCTGTGCCCTCTGATTAATAGTAATCTAGGGGTTTGTAAAAGCAGGGTTTTGAGCATCACAGTGACTCCAAGATACAAAAAAGAAAATCATGAGCTGACCTCAGGGGCATATTTAAGTACATTGTTTTGCTATTGTGAACATCAGAATGGCAGGAAGAAATATTTTAATTAACCTGTCCCTAGGCTTCCAAGCTTAATGCACTTTTCCCCTCTTTTCAGTGAAGAGTCTTAACCTCTTCCCCGCCCTCTCTCATATGTAGTCTAAAAAGAAAAATCCACCACGACAGACAACCAGCAGCTCTAAAAATAATCTCCCCCACCTAGTAGGCGTTCAAAGCCAGGGCTCTTCAGAATGCATACGTGTTATCAATTCAATAAATCGTACCAACTGAAAATATTTATTGGCCAAAATCCTGCTGTGTAGTTCGTCCAGTAACAGATTGCTTAAAACATCCCTCTTTCAATTTCAGATTGTGTTCATGAAATTTGTGTCTACTCTGACATGAAAGTAGGAACTCTTTAATTAGTGACCATCTGCCAGTGCCAACGGTATCACTCTTGTTGCACCAGTGGAGCTACCCAACAGATAGTGGCCATGAGTTACATAGCTTTTCAGACACACTTGACCCAGATTGCAGACATGGGCTGAGATCACAGTTTTACTTGCACATATGGGAAAGAACTAGGAGTTCTGGCCATTCTGCCACTACATTAATCTTGTTCTCACATTACTGGATGGAAAGAGAAATACTCTTATACACTCTTTTTCTGATTGTAAAACGTAGCGCGATCTTACCAGAACAATTTCATGGCTCTCTGGAATGGAGCAACTGCTACTTTTATAAAATAATATGAGAGACAAACAATGGAGCTCCAACAAAGATCAAATTCTGTAGTAGTAATTTTGCTGAGCCTTTACAGGAACACTGTGCTTATTCCGTATTCCAGACCACGGATCAGCCTTCTTCTACCTGGGTCCCTCCAAAGGCTTTCAACTACAGGGCGCATCCCTCCCGCCCCCAGCCTCAATGCTCAAGGATGATTTTAACTTTAGTCCAAACATCTGGTTAGGGCCAGACTGTAGAAGACTGCTACTGGTAACATCTCAGATGACTGCATACCTTCTGCACAGCGGCAAACATCACCGTGGCATATCTTACTCAGCAGGCCACTTTCTTTGGATGGATGGTAGAATTTGGTGCACTGCTCATCTGAAAAGAGGAAAGAAAATATTAATTGCTATCTCACATTAACAAGGCTGCACAGGTTGCCGGTTTTGTACGTTGGTAGGAAATCTCAAAAGGAAAACCCTTGAAAGGGGACAAAGTAAGGCAGATGGACTGTTTCTTCCAGGGAGTATATTAGAAAGACATCAAGCTGACCTTGTGTAACCAAAGGGCAGCCAGCAAGGGACTTTAACCAGACACTCAAGGGGAGAGTGGTACCCCATAGCCAGCTGCCTTAGGGATGGCCACTGTAGCGGAATCCAAAAAGGTGATGTCATTCCTGCCTGTCCATCACAGCAGAAAAGGGAGAGGAGCCAAGGATAGAGCAGGAGGGGTGGAGCTGGAGTGACAGTTAGGGAGTTGAAGGGACAGTAAGAGACAGTTGGAGTTAGATAGAGTTAGAGAGAGTCAGGGACCAGAAGATGTAGAGAGAGTGTTAGGGTTTAGGAATAGATCTAAGGGGGTTAGGAGATTAAAATAAAAAGTTAACACACACATTGAACAAGCAGGAATGAATGTACAAACATTACTTGAAAGACATTGATTTAAAGCATACAACAGTTCTGAATACAAGTGATTGACTGCATGATATACTTTATTTAGGAATAGATCTAAGGGGGTTAGGAGAAGAAATTAAAAAGTTAACACACACATTGAACAAGCAGGAATGAATGTACAAACATTACTTGAAAGACATTGATTTAAAGCATACAACAGTTCTGAATACAAGTGATTGACTGCATGATCTAATATACTTTAACACCTGAAACAGTCATATGTGATTTTCTTTTGATTTGTTCAATAATAAAATAATACTTAATCATAACCCCTGCTTCCTAAGGTATATGACCCTTTGGGGTAGCAGCTCCTGTGTGGGACATGAATTGGTATTAGGAGAATACCTGGTGGCAGCGAATAAGGGCGTGTGCACCTTTGTGAGGCCCAAGGAAATAGGGGCCACAAAGGGTTGATCGCCACAGCTACTTTCTCTGTTCCACGGGATTCACTTATTCACCAAGCAATGGTCTAAGGGCTGAAAATGTTATTTTGAAGCACAAACTGACATATAAACAAATTGGTCCCATCTATCCTTCTCAAATTTTAAATAAATGATAGATAGACAGACAGACAGACAGACAGACAGACAGACAGACAGACAGACAGACAGATATTTAACTTTCCATGCTGCTGAAAAGACAAAGCAGGACAACAACCCACATTTAAACTGCATTCCTGCCTGCTGGGCACAGAAACCCTATGCTAGAGAGTCAGGGAACCCAGGGATCAGGTCCTCCTGGTCTATTTCCCTGCCCTTCGGTGAAAAATTACACCTGGGTGAGTTAGGGTGAAGCAGCCTAGAACCTGACGGCTGTTTGGAAACTGGGGCAGAGTTGGTCCCTTATCCCATTCCATGTTTTCAGGGCATTCCCTCCTCAGCTCTGTACTCGTAACAGGAGGTTTGGGGACTCAGTAAATTTCTGAAACATCCTAACTGGTCTTTGAGTATTGGAGCAGCATTGTAGAGAATTCTACAGCATTGTAGAGTCTTTACCTAGATTATAATAGTTGTACATCTTGACTGATCCTGGCTGTACGAGACCAACTTCAAAATACTTCAAAGCTTTAAACTGTATGCATTCATCCTCCCTGTGAGAGACCTGTGAAGATCAGAGAAAAGAGAAGATAAGTCTTTGACCACCAGACCTCCAGTGGAGAGAGTCTTTCCTTCCTCTGAGCAATCTCAAGGAAATCCTTTCCATTGTTCAGTTTGGGGTGGATGTCCAGGCTTGGCAGGACAGAGCAGCTCAGTCAAGCTTCTAAAGCTGCAATCAGAACAAAATAAAAGCTTCTGTGATACCTCTGAGACTAGGAAATGTATCTCATTGTGATCTTTCATGAGCCACAATCCACTTCCTCAGACACAGAACTTGACTGAAATCAACAAAAGCTCAGCCTGAAATGCATTTGTGAGTTCTCAAGGATGCCACAAGAGCTTTGTCTCTTTTTTTATTGTTTCAGAAACACACTGACATTCTCTCAGGAGAAGCTGTTCAAAGGGATCCAATGTTCATGGGGTTTAAGGGCATAGAAGGAATGGCGTAAGTATGGCAACAATCAGCAGATTAAAATAATCATTATAGTCTTAGAAATGCAGAGCTGGTAGGAAAATAGTCTGTCAGTCAAGGCTCACCAACAACCTGTCACCCTTACATTCCAGTCATATATTGTGCCACTGACACATTACTGAAGAAAACCGTTTCTTAACAAATAAACATCCATCACATCTTCTACGGTTCATAGATATCCTTGCCTCAAATGCACACTAGGGACTCCCTCATGATGCAGAGACCTGGCTTCACTTTCACCAACCTGCTGACCATCACACCTCGAGCTGAATGCAAGTAGATAAAGGCGAAGAGAAACTATATGAAAGAGGAAAAGGGCATGAGGAAGGTGCTTGTAATCTCCAGCTTAGCCGCTCACTGTTAAATTCTAAGAGTTCAAAGGAAAGGAACGTTCCAACAGCCATGGCTTCTCCCTTCTGGGCTGTTCTATAATGGGAAAACCAGTGTGTAATTGTTATGGAGATCAGAATCTCACACACGGACTAAGAAAAGTGTCTCTAATCCCAGGCTTTAATCCAATTTTACAAAGAAAAAAACAGTGAAACATCATGCTCTCAATTATAAAAGGCTTAAAGCAGTTAGAGACATAGATAAAATATGTCTTTGGGTGACTCAAGAAAAGAAAATGCTTTCTTAACAAATAAACATTTGTTGCACCTTCTTCAGTTCATAGATACACTTGCTTCAAATGCACACTAGGGACTCCCTGACTCTGAAACCAGGCCAGCTACTTCCTGTTCATACTGCTCAACCTTCCTTGCATCCATGATACTGGTAGTGCCTCCTGGAGTTCACACAACAGGGGGCTGAAACTAGCGTCAAAAGAGTCAGAGCTTTCCGGGAGGATTTACTTGACCACAAGGAGGCAGCGGTGTTTTTTTTTCCTTCGTGATTTGCTCTGCTGTGCTCTAGTGCAGGATCTGCTCATGGGAGAATGATCATGTAGATCGTAGTAATGTGCTGACTTGTTTACTTTGGGGATCTGTATTTTTGATTATGTTTTCACGTGGGTGTTTTTCTGCTGATCAATATGCACCCCTCCACACAACAAGTTAAGTTAAAAGAAGGGAGGAGAGAGTGAATTAAGGTGGGGAAAGACTTTAAAAAATAGACAAAAAGGGAAGGCAATCTGTGCTGTGAGTGAGACATCAGGGAGCAATTCTGGAGCAGACAGCCTGATCAATACCCGCCCCTCCACACACCATGAGAAGGTAAAAGAAGGGAGGAGAGAGTGAATTAAGGTGGGGAAAGACTAAAAAAGATAGACAAAAAGGGAAGGCAATCTGTGCTGTGAGTGAGATATCAGGGAGCAATTCTGGATGTGTGCAGACAGCCGAGATTAAGATGTCCCAGTGCATCCCAATACACCCAGCAGCAAAGCCTTCCCCATCTATGGCTGCAAAAGTTGGGTTGGTCTCTTCAAATTCTCAGTACAAAAAATACCTGAAGGACCCAGAACAGATGCAACTGTGTGAGCAAGCACAAGGGACCCCTCTAAAGCCCTCTTACCTTGTCCAAGTAAATGATGAGGTTCCCTCTTTCACTCATAACTTGGTTAACTTCAAACTTGGAGATGTATCTGTCGACTCCCTCAGAAAGCTGGAATGTTGAAAGGAAATGAGAAGCGGCGTTGTCTTTACATTTTGTCTGCACTGCAGTCCAAAGCCCCTTGGGAGGCACCTGCTCAAGGCTGTGCCTCACAGGGACTTCAAAGGAGTCCTAAAGACGTTTTATAATGTCAGGTGCATTTGTCAGGAGTAGTACGCGTGACCTGGCATCAACCACATTCTTACTAAGGTGTTACTACACAGTGAGGGAAATGTGAATTAACTCACATTCATTTGTTGTGAGGTCACACCAGGGAATTTGGTCTGTGAGATTTAACTGCCTGCACAGAAAACAGGGGAAGTCCCCCCCCCTTTTTTTCCTGTTTGCTTAGATTTCTGCTTCTGGCGGTACAGGTGGAACTCTTACAAAGAACTGCCTGGCAAATATTTAAAAAGGCTTTCTACTTCTACTTCACATAGATATTTCATTAAACAAAACACTTGCCAACAGAGACAAGCTTCCTTCTTAACCTGTTAAACAAACCAAAAGAGAGAGAGAGGGAGAGATATATGAGTTCCTAAGATACTTCTTAAGAAAGCAGCTGGTGCTGCTTGTGTGTGTACGTGGCTCATAAGACGAGAAGTGAGGGGAAAGGTGCTTTGGCAAAGCACTGCTTTCTGTGTGTGTTTGTGTACGCTCAACTCGTCCTCCCATTCTGCTTTGGTTCAAGCAATCGCACACCTGATCCTGTCTGAAGGATTCATGTTTCTGAAAAGCAAAAGGCTCCCTTGTGGGGAAGATAACTACAGATACTGGGAGTGAGGGCAGAAACCTGGACTGATTTACCTTCCCCCTTGTGTCGTGTGATCAATGGAAAAATGTAAATCAGCCCGCCCCAAACCTGTTGTACTTTTGCTTTTTTTTTACTAATGTAGTTGCCCTTTAAGCTTTATGTTAACATTAGGACTTGTAAGAAACCTGTTCAACTGTTAGTACAAATTAAAATCACTTCTGAACAGTAAGCCAACACATATAAATTCCAGTGAATCAGCGGGCCTTCTATACATGAGACCTGCAGCTGGGTTAGGGCCAATGACTTTAACCCAAGAAATTTAACAGAACTTGAAATGTGACCTTTAATAAGACAGGGGGAAACCACCCCTTTGTATTGCATTGGATAGAGAATAGTTTCTCTATTTCTATATAAAAATATACACATTCTTTCCTATATAGAAAAGAGAAAACATTGTTTCGCAATTTGGTTAACAAGCGTAAAAGAGAACAACCTATTTCGTCTGGTTACCTTGAGAAAACAACACACACATAAAAAAGACTGGCTGCTCAAATTACATTTGATGATAAGATTGCATTTAGAAGCTGATAGCATCCCCCCCTTTTAGGGATGCAGTTCCTTGAGCTGTCAAAGCTTGCTAATGAGGCTCATGTTTACCTCCCAACAGCCAACCACCAAACAAAGCAGGTTAATTTGCAAAAGGTGAAGGATAGTTTCTTTGATCACTTTGAGCAGCATCCCTTTCTTAATGGTTGTTGTGGGTTTTTTGGGCTTCTTGGCCGTGTTCTGAAGGTGGTTCTTCCTAACGTTTCGCCAGTCTCTGTGGCCGGCATCTTCAGAGGACAGCAAACTGTGCTCTCTCCTTTCTTAATCTCTCTCCTTAAAAATAATATTTTCCACGTGGCCTTTAGTTTCTTCCACATGGTGCAGTGGTCAAACTGCAATATTTCAGGGAAGAGTCTGCTCCTAACCTGAGTTTGATTCCAGAGTCAGGTAGATGCCTCAGGTTGACTCAACCTTCCATCCTTCTGAGGTCAGTAAATTGTATATCCAGTTTGCAACGGGGGCAGGGCAATGTGTAGCCTGCATAATTTAAATTGTACACCATGCTGAGAATGTTTTAAGGACTATGGAGATGGTGTATTTAGCAGTACACTTTGCTTTTGCATTGTTCCTCACTCTGCATTTCCGATAGTTACCAAATTTTAACTGTATCTAACTGCATTTATTCCCTGTGCATCATCTTCACTGTCTTTCCCCCTGTAGGCTATTTTTCATTATAAGCTTCTTCAGGCAAGAGACATTTTATTTTTGCCTACAGAAATAAGTATAAGAGATAATAAAAGATGCTAGCAGTAAATAAGAAACCTGAAAACAGCCATTCTCTTTAGTGTACATCACAGCAGGAGAATTGGTGGTTTTTACAATTAATCCTTATCTATTCTGTCTGAAGTACTAATTTTTATGGTTGAAGCTTTTTCACTGATTGCAGAAAATTTTCTAGCCCAAACTCTTAAGGGAAAATTTTAGCAGATTCCATTTCTAGAATCCAGCATCACCTACCCTCTTAAGGTCATCAGTATCAGGGGCAAAACCAGTGAGCATGGAAACATCAATGATTGTCATTGTGGCATCAACCTCACCAAGATACCTAAAATCAGGGACAGAGAGAAAAAGTGGCAAAAGAAGCAGGTTACACATGGATTCAGTTTTAGTTTTCTCAGTTTTGTTCTCTGCATTTGCAAAGTGTTTTAGCGTCAAAGGTGAAAAGTGAGATCTAGGATGCTATCATCAAATGGTATCATTACGACATTTGATCCTAAACCCCGGAGCAATTCTATATACATTTACAAAACACTCATGGATCAAGGTGAGGAGAAGAAGTTTGGAGGCAGGATTGTGTTGTTGTTGTTTTAAGGTTGGCAACTTGCCCTTGTGTTCAGGTATGGAGAGAGTTTGGCTGGGGAGTCAAGCTGAAGACCCTAGCATATAGTTTCATCAAATGTAGGTGCATAATGCAAATAGGATATCTGGCATCACAGTTAAAAAAACACCTTCTGCTTCTAAAAGTCCCATCTCCCTCCTTCACTTTCACCCTTAATTAGCGTGCATGTTGTAAATAAGGATCCCCTACGCCAGGGCATAGGTGGGGGACAGGTAGTCCTTCAGTTGTTACTGAACTGCAGTCCCTCTGGCCCCAGGCAGCATAGCTAATGATAAGGAGAGATGAGAGTTGCACTCAAGCCTAGAACAATGAAGAGAAACATGTGGACTTGAGGCCCTTCCCTGGTTTAGGTGGAACAGATGAAAGCCTTTGCCTCACCCACCAAAAATACACAAACCCAACACCCAGAAAACAAGAAAATGCACACAGACCCAAAAATAGGATAGTGATCGTTTATCAACTTCCAAAGAAACCGTTGCTCTTCCAATATTGTCCTTGGACAGCAGAATATATTCAACTGACCTGCAAATCTACACAACACTACACTTGATCTTAGTCAAAAGCAATCCCATTATAATCCAGATTCATCTCTAAAGCTTTCATAAAAATAGCAACGAGTTTTGAATCATGTATGTTGAACATCAGTTAGATGCATAATATTAAATGTCCTTGTGTTACTGCTTGAGTGGAGAGCCAAAGACTAACTTGCTAAATTTTGACACTTGTCCTGGGTACAAAGCAAATCACCAGAACGCTTTTTAGAAAGTGGTTTTGCACTAGAGATGCTGTTATCGGCTAAGAATTGTACTGTGTGGAGTCTAAGGACTGTTTGGAGTCTGAGGAAGAGTTAAAGGCACTTCATCTAGTCTTCCTCACTTAGTAAGATAGCATTGTTTTTGAAGCTCATCTTAACACTCTCGAGAGATTTCATGGTCATGTGATTCTTTGTTTTTAACTTCTGTCCTTTAATAAATCTTCAGATAAAATGTAATATTATGCTTTGAATTGATACTTAGGACATCTGATCCCAACCCATTTTCCATGGGCTTGATTTGCAGGATTTAGTCCTTTGTTAGATTTGCCTTGTCATTAAAGCTCAACATTCTTACCTGGTGCAGATTTTGATTTTGACAGCCCCCAAGGCTCCCTTGAGTTGCTTCTGATCTAGACATTATAGTACAAGGAGAGAGAAAAATCAGTGTTTTTGTACAAATTCCATGCAGTATAGCTGTGACTACACTGGGAAAATGTGGGAAATACTATGGGTTTTGATGAACTAATTTATATTCCACAACCCCCCATCACATTACAGAAAGAGAACTGCAAATCAGTCTGCAGGCTTCATGCATGATCCATACCCTCCTTTTATTTATTCATTTTTTTGTTTCTAAAACAATAATTTTCTCTCCAAAGAAATCCAGAATAGTTCACAATACAATGACAGACACTTGTCCTGGGTACAAAGCAAATCACCAGAACGCTTTTTAGAAAGTGGTTTTGCACTAGAGATGCTGTTATCGGCTAAGAATTGTACTGTGTGGAGTCTAAGGACTGTTTGGAGTCTGAGGAAGAGTTAAAGGCACTTCATCTAGTCTTCCTCACTTAGTAAGATAGCATTGTTTTTGAAGCTCATCTTAACACTCTCGAGAGATTTCATGGTCATGTGATTCTTTGTTTTTAACTTCTGTCCTTTAATAAATCTTCAGATAAAATGTAATATTATGCTTTGAATTGATACTTAGGACATCTGATCCCAACCCATTTTCCATGGGCTTGATTTGCAGGATTTAGTCCTTTGTTAGATTTGCCTTGTCATTAAAGCTCAACATTCTTACCTGGTGCAGATTTTGATTTTGACAGCCCCCAAGGCTCCCTTGAGTTGCTTCTGATCTAGACATTATAGTACAAGGAGAGAGAAAAATCAGTGTTTTTGTACAAATTCCATGCAGTATAGCTGTGACTACACTGGGAAAATGTGGGAAATACTATGGGTTTTGATGAACTAATTTATATTCCACAACCCCCCATCACATTACAGAAAGAGAACTGCAAATCAGTCTGCAGGCTTCATGCATGATCCATACCCTCCTTTTATTTATTCATTTTTTTGTTTCTAAAACAATAATTTTCTCTCCAAAGAAATCCAGAATAGTTCACAATACAATGACATGTAGACATAAAATACTTCATATAAGTCAGTGGTTCCCAAGTTTAGCTCCCCCAATGACCTTGGACTAAGATCCAGGTTCAGGGATTCATCCATGAACTTGGGTGCCCAGGTCTCAGGAGTGGCCAGAAGTGCATTAGGACAATTAAAACTACTGCACTAGCTACGTACATTTCTTGAGAGATCTGATCTGGCCACTGTGAATACATGCCTTAGTTACATCCTGGCTGGATTACTGTAATGTGCTCTATGTGGGGCTGCTGGTGGAAAGTGTCAGGAAACATCAACCTTCATAGGTGTATCTGATGGGACACGGGAGAGAGCTGCCTCTGTCACTGTTCCCAGACTTTGGAATTCCCTCCCACAGGAGGCCAGACTGGCCCCATCTTTGCTGTCCTTCCACAAGCAGACAAAGACCTTCAGGTAAGCCTTCCCTCAGCAACCAGCTACTTGTGTGTGAATTCTAGATAGATTGTTATGCATTACTGCTTGACCGAATGTTAGTACTTACTTGTGCTTTCCATTTTTGTTTTGTGTTTTCCACTTCTCAGAGGGACGTTTTGAAAATTTTTGTATACTTATTGATCTTTACTTTAATATTGCCTGCTAATGTCAGCTCCACTGCCGAGCGTGCTTCAGCACTGAGGAGCTCCGTTGCTGCCCTCCCAGGATATTGTAAGACACTGGAGTCTTGCTGACATGACCCGAGAGGGGAGGAGGAAGGTGCGGCCTATTTAAAGAGTGCACCCTCCCATTGGCCTCTTTCGAGGCATGCAAGTGAGATAGATAGAAGGGTGTGCTGCTTTAAGGATACCCTGTGACACCGTTTCAAAGCCTGTTCTGGATTTGGAAGGGGGATTGCATCGGTGCCCCACAGTTTGAAGAGATCGTGCACTTATCATATATATATATAAAAGCAGGGCTCCGGTGACGGGCGAAGCTTTCCCTGCCAGAGAAGGAGGCGCCAAGGGCAGCCAAGCAGGGCTGCCATGAGCAACTGCAAGGGTGGTAGCGAGGACCCAACAGGAGGCCCCAGAAGGCGAGTCGGATAGGATGGTTAGTGGGCATGGGACTTAGCGTAGCTAGTCCCTATGCTATGGTGGGTAGTGCAGACGGAACAGGTTTTGGTGAGTCTCCTTGCAATTACAGGTAACGTATAACTCATATAACCTCCCAGAGTTGTGGATTGTGAGATTACAGTGGGTGGGGGAGAAGATGTGTTGGGGCCACACTCATGGTCACCATGGGGAAGGTGGCTGAGGTCCGGAGGGTGGTCAAATTTAGGCCGGACAGGTTCTCGCTGTCTTCAGGACTGTGGGACCTCAGGGCTAGGGACTCACCCATTGGTTTGGTAAGGGGCCCAGTGAGACCCCTATGCAAAACCTGATCCCACACTACTGCAAGACCCTCCTTTTATGTTTCACTATAATGGTTATTCAATAAAACGTGGCTCACGTTTATCCTATAATACTTGTCGCACGTCATTATTGCAGGGTAGGGGGAGCTGTGATGTAAGATGCCTCCTTATTCATTGTTCTTAGTTCTAAATTGCCTTCCCGGATTGCTGCCTTGTCATGGCGAAGGGGCTTGAGTAATTCAGAGAAGCTATGGGGTATACCGTGCAGGGACACCCAAGACGGAGAGGTCATAGTGGAGAGTTCTGACTAAAAGCAATCCACCTGGAGCAGGAACTGGCAAGCCACTCCATTATCTTAGCCAAGAAAACTCCATGGACAGAAACAAAAGGCTAAAAGATATGATGCTGGAATATGAGCCCCTCAGGTCAGAAGGCGTCCAACATACTAATGAGGAAGAGCAGAGAACAAGTACAAGTAGCTCCAGAGCTAATGGAGTGGTTGGGTCAAAGCCGAAAGGACGATCAGCTGTGCACGTGCCTGGAAGTGAAAGGAAAGTCCAATGCTGCAAAGAAAAATACTGCATAGGAACCTGGAATGTAAGATCCATGAACCTTGGGAAGCTGGAGGTGGTCAAACAGGAGATGGCAAGAATAAACATTGACATCCTGGGCATCAGTGAACTAAAATGGATGGGAATGGGTGAATTCAATTCAGATGATTATCATATCTACTATTGTAGATAGTAGAGAAGGGAAACAAAATGCAAGGGAGATAGGGAAAGTTACAGAAAATTGAATGCAGACTTTCAAAGAATAGCAAGGAGAGACAAGAGGGCCTTCTTAAATGAACAATGCAAAGAAATAGAGGAAAATACTAGAAAGGGAAACAGTAGAGTCCAAATTGCTAACATGCGCTGGATTATGGAGAAATCCAGAGAGTTCCAGAAAAATATTTACTTCTGCTTCATTGACTATGCAAAAGCCTTTGACTGTGTGGACCACAGCAAACTATGACAAGTCCTTAAAGAAATGGGACTGCCTGACCACCTTATCTATCTCCTGAGAAATCTAAATGTGAGACAGGAAGTAACAGTTAGAACTGTATATGGAACAACTGATTGGTTCAAAATTGGGAATGGAGTACGATAAGGCTGTATATTGTCTCCCTCCTTATTATCTTATATGCAAAATACATCATGTGAAAGGCAGGACTGGAGGAATCCCAAGCCGGAATCAAGAGTCCTGGAAGAAATAGCAACAACCTCAGATACTCTGATGGCAGATAGTGAGGAGAAATTAAAGAACCTCTTAAAGAGGGTGAAAGAGGAGAGTGCAAAAACTGGTCTGAAGCTCAACATAAAAAAAAATTTAGATCATGTCCACTAGTCCCATCACCTCCTGGGAAATAGAAGGGGAAGATATGGAGGCAGTGACAGATTTTACTTTCTTGGAGTCCATGATCACTGCAGACGGAGACAGCAGCCATGAAATTAAAAAATGCCTGATTCTTGGGAGGAAAGCGATGACAAACCTTGACAG